TTTTGGCAATAACTCTGGAAGGAAACGTCGCAGACCCATGAAGGTGGTACTCGAGAGAGGAGGTGAGGCGTGAGAGAGAAGGGGCGATGCGAGAGGGGGCTGAAAGTCCGCAAGCAGAGAGAGCAACGGCGTGCTTCGCCGTTCTTACCGTCACCGCGATCACGGCAGCCGCAGCAGGGGCGGCACCGCTCGCTCTCGCCATGGGCCTCCTCCACTCAAGCAGACAGCCGCGTCCGCACCACCTCAGCCAGGCTCTGCTGTGGCTGGCGCTGTGCACGCTGTGGAGTGAACGCTGCTCGGCCAAGACGCTCTGCGGCTCGGAGCTTGTGGAGGCGTTGCAGTTCGTGTGCGGCACCGATGGTTTCAACGCGGCGCAACCGAGCGAGCGCCAGGGCGGGCTGGGCGGCATCGTAGAAGAATGCTGCGTGCGTTCCTGCTCGCTGATGCAACTGGAGAGGAGCCAGGTTCGATTTAAGGCCAACAAGGAACTGCAGAAGGACTGCTTCCAGAGGCACAAGCGCGAAGAGTATCCGCAGCCATTGAAGCTGCCGTCGCCACAGAAGCGGCAGCACAGGGACGTGAGCATGGACTTGGCGTCTCTGCACACGGTCAACCACATCACCCGCAATGACGCAAATGACGCCTCTCACCAGGTCACCAAGAGGACCCTGGAGCAGAGTGGGTCGCAGGTTCGGCACGAGCACGTGGAGTTGCCCTCGTCCCCGCAGGCAGAGACGCACGCGCGCTCACAGCTGCAGTTCGCCGACGGCACCGGCAGCAGCAGCAGCAGCGGGTGGCAGAGCGCTCCCATCGCCAGCACGAGACGCTACGCTACGGCACCACAAGGCCACGCCAAGCGAAACACGGCTACAGCAGCAGCAGCAGCAACTGGAGAAAATCTGTGCCAAATGGAGCGTGCTTCAAGCCGTCGCAGCTGTCCCCCATTAAAGAGCACCGTTTGCCCGCGGTGGACCCTGCTGCATTTGGCAGGGGGCCCTCCTGCTCGTGGCCTCTGCCCCCCGAAACCCACCGCATGGTGACAGCAGCACAGGTGCGGCTCGTGGCGCCCGGCGCTTCCTCTCCACTCCCCTTGGGCGCCACGGCGGCGATGTCAGAGACACGGCACCTCGGAGTGATGCCATCCCTATGGGGGGGGGGGGGTGGTGCGTCTCAATTCCTGCGTCACTCGGCCGCTCACCCCCCCCCCCCCCCTGAGCTGGCAATTACACCGTTGTGTTTTTTTTTTCTTCTTGGTTCTTTCGGTAAAGTCACGTAGAAGAGAAGTAATAAAATAATAAAAATAAAACATAATAAAATAATTCTCACGACGTTTCGGCCACAACGCAAGCAGCCGTCCTCAGGTGAAGACCAGGTCTGTCGGGGAGAAAGCGTCTGAATGAAACACCACCACGCATTCAGACGCTGTCTCCCCGACAGACCTGGTCTTCACCCGAGGACGGCTGCTTGCGTTGTGGCCGAAACGTCGTGAGAATTATTTTATTACTTCCCTTCTACGTGACTTTACCGAAAGTACCAAGAAGAGGAATCCCTGCAGTCACGAAAGCTTTAAATCGAAATTTACACCGTTGTTGTTGATGTGTTTCTAAAACACTGCCCATAGACTCAACACTGCACCATAGAATCAACACTGCCGGTTAGCGCGGTTGGCTCCGTACGCTGTGAAAGTATCTCAACGTACATACATACAAAGATGTCCTCATCGAGCGAGCCACATATCCCTATGAAGAATGACAGAGCTTTGTCAATTGTTATGGTAGCTTTAGTATCATCCCTAATGCTTGGGTCTTCTCTGGGTACTCGAGTTTCCTTCCACAGGAGTAAACTCATTCATGGATTTGGCTGAACGTCGCAGTGTAGGAGCGCAGAACTTGGACATTTATGTCACCGGATATGGCTCCCTTCCCGCTTGCCTCTGGCTTTTCACGCGAGTGGCCTCGTTGCGAAAACCGCGCTCGTTACAAATCCTGCAGCATTTTGAGGCGCGATTGCACGAATCTCGACGCTGTTTTTCAAGACAAGTTCAAAGTAGAGAGGAGCGTGGCCGCCTGCACGAGGTCACCCCGGTGACTCGCCGAGTTCCGGCGCGAGCGCAGCGCCCCCCGCGACGCCACGGATGGGTAGCTTGGTGGAGCGCGGGGGGGTGGTGGAGCGAGGGGGGTGTGGTGGAGCACACAACACACATCACACTCCACACACAAAATCACACACCCCACACAACACACACACCGCTGCACTCACGGATACGTAGGTTGTCTTTCCCGACCCGAAGCTGAGAGCGGAGGCTGCGATGTCACCGATGATGGCTGCTAGAGGCGATGATGGCGGCGATGATGATGATGGCTGTGGTAATGGTTGATGGTTGTGGAGATGGCGAAGGCAGCACACAGGGAGGAGGAGAAAGAGGCAGCAGGAGGAGGCGGCTGTGCAGGATGGAGAGAGAGGGGATGTGGGGGGGGGGCTTTGCTCGCACTAGGAGCGATGAGAGAAGCTCTCCGCGAGGCGGCGCTGTCTTCACAGTGCCTACGGTCACTGATGTAATGTTATTGTAGAGAGACGGAGTCTTTGTAGAGGCAACACGGTTTATTATACCAAACAGTTTACACTTAAACCCTAACACAAAGAAATAATGGCCCCTTCCACCCACAACCTGGGGAGGTACAGCCTCCGGGCTATCGTATCTACAACTCTGTCCACTCTAGCCCTCCGGCTGGCTAGACCTAGGGGAGGCTGACCCACCACTGGCCCGGTAGGTACCTGACCACTGGCCCGTCCGGACCTGGCCCTTAGAAGGAAATCAGGCCGAGGGAACCTCAGGATCCTAACCTCTTGAACACTGGCAGCGCACTAAGCCCCAAGCCCTTAGAAGTACGTCGGTGGCTTGAGGTCCAGGGTCTTCTTATCCAGGTAGCTTCTGACTCCGGCTTGAGACGGACTGACTCGCGCTCTCAGGGACCTGCCTTAAATACTACTAGCTATACTACCCGACTTCGCCCGGGACTTGTATCCACCACGCCCGGCCGCCTTTGTCTCCCCAGTGGCGATGTTAATACGCCACACCAGTTACTCGTTTTGAGGCTGAGTCCCTCCCTCACCACTCTCCCTCCCTCACCACTCTCCCTCCCTCCCTCCCTCCCTCACCACTCTCCCTCCCTCACCACTCTCCCTCCCTCACCACTCTCCCTCCCTCACCACTCTCCTTCCCTCACCACTCTCCCTCCCTCACCACTCTCCCTCCCTCACCACTCTCCCTCCCTCACCACTCTCCCTCCCTCAGCACTCTCCCTCCCTCAGCACTCTCCCTCCCTCACCACTCTCCCTCCCTCACCACTCTCCCTCCCTCACCACTCTCCCTCCCTCACCACTCTCCCTCCCTCACAACTCTGTAGAGGACGTGAAACTTTGATGAATTTACCTCAGAGTCGCGTGGTGGGTGTCGAGGCCTAGCACGGGTGCAGAGCCTCCGGCCTCGCCTAAATTGGCCACCCGGCTGAGGCTGGGTACGGGTGCCGTTCCCCCCCCCCCCCGCGCTACAATAATACTACTGTCTAATCGCTATAATTTTATAATCTACCGACCCTATAATAGTAATTGCACACATTGTGGTGGGGGGGGGGGGGAGTGAAGAGGACGTGAAACTTTGATGAATTTACCTCAGAGTCGCGTGTTAATGCGTGCGCCTATTTTTAACGGGAATTAAAAATGGCGTCCACCCCGCGGCGAAGGCGTCGCTACCCGTTGCCAGGGGCAACCGCCGTCCAATGAAAGCGGCGAAGGCGTCGCTACCCGTTGCCAGGGGCAACCGTCGTCCAATAAAACTGCGTATGGTCCGGCGACACACAGACAGACAGATTCGCGATTTTATATATTTTGATTTCTCCCTGAGGGGCGGGGTTCTGGGGGATCGTAGCTTCCCCCAGCCCCTCCCTCCCCTCAGAGGGGTTCCAACTGCAGTTGGCCCTACCGGTCCGGACCGGTTTCTACCCCTCCCCTGGTTGTGGCGCGTGTGTGTCAATCATGACCATCATTGCTGATGGCTTTATTTTAGTGATTTCGTTTTTTGGTTTGGCCATGTTTGTTTGTTGTAGTACGGAGATAGAATGATGGCTTTAATCTAAGTTGTCTAGTGGTTGTTGTTGTTTGACTTGCATCCCACTGGGATCTTTGCACAGCGTTGGTGTATGGTGCTTTTCCTGGATTTTTCTGTTTGCGCAAAGTCACTTTAAGATGTTTTCTTGTTCATGTTTTAGTTTTTTTGTTTGTTGCGGTTGCACCCGGTTCAAGAGCCGAATGGCTCACAGGGCTATACCTAATAAATGAAAAAACCGGACAACTCGCTTCGTCGAGAGGCATCCACATATATGAGTGGTTAAGCTGTGGGACGTGAAATGGACGAGCGACCAATAAAACACTATGTAATATGGGGATGACTGTTTTTTGCAATTCTCAAAATAATACTCATGCAGTCATGCAAATATCTGATTTAAGACAGCACAGCAAAACCAGTTTCACCATTCAATTCCGGTCATCCAAGCGAGTAGAATTCAATTACATTGATTCGATGCGACGTTTCTTATGGGATATAATAAGCGACAACATTTGGACTCCAAACCGAGAGAATTTGGGGATGTTTGTGATTTTGTGGCAATAACTCGTCGAGAGGCATCCACATATATGAGTGGTTAAGTTGTGGGACGTGAAATGGACGAGCGACCAATAAAACACTATGTATTATGGGGATGACTGTTTTTTTGATATTCTCAAAATAATACACATGTCTTAATACATGTCACGTGGAGACAGAGAGAGAGAGGGAGGGGCATTCACACCACGAGGTCACGTGGCCCAGGGAACAACAAATCCCCCCCCCCCCTACACCAACTGCCAACATGGACTGGTCTGTCCAAGTGGAGCTCCCTCGCCCCCCTGTCAGACACCAACATGGACTCGTCCATCGCTGGTCCCACCTCCCCCACGGAAAATCATCGAAGTCAACGTACAGTAGGACAGTCCACACAAGCGGCATCAACAACAACAGCAGCAGCAGGTGACGTCCCCGCGGCGTTGGTGCCAGGCTAGGTGCACTCTTAGGCCACGCGAAGTGTCGAAGGCTCGCTGACAGGAGGTCACGGGGCAGAACCCTGCAGGTGCCATGGGGTTGACCGACTCGAGATGGCTGCAGACGCCACCAGCTGTGCCAACTCGCCGCGTTTTAGCCGCCCGCCTCTCCGCTCGTTGTTGTGAGCGTCCCTCACGAGCCTCCTCCTCCACAGAGGCCGATCTTGACACCGCCGGTACCGCTCATCGGCAAGTCCACTCAGCTCCACATCCTCCAACCAGGTACCTTTGTAGACCCGCAGTGATGCCCCATGCCGTGTTGGCAGTCCACTGCTGGATGAAGGCTTCGGGTCGCCACGGTGGCTAGGAGATGTTAACTACCTCGCCCGGTGTGCAGGAGGTCGTGGGTTCGACCCCGACGCCTGCTGCTGCTGCTGCTGCTCTAGATGTGGAGTCTGCGGTGTCTCTCTCCACGTGGTCGCGTGGATTTCTCTCCCGGTGCTGCGGTGTTCCCATCCACATTTAGAGTCGACGTGTTGAGAATATTTGGTGCTCTAAATGTCCACGCGAGAAGCCACTTTGTTGAGCTATCATCTGTGGCCAGGTCGCTTCTTATAAAAGCGCTATGGAGCTCAGTGGGACTTAGGTGGTTAAAATAAAATAACAGTAAAAATAACAGCACCACCACTCCACGTACACAGAACATCTGCCGTGATCCTGACTGCAGTGCTCACCTCGATATGGTCGATGAAAGTGAATTACGTGACGGCCGCTACGTTAAAAGGTTTCGTCACCTTTGGGTGGCATCAGTTGCTGCTCTGGCCCATCGGGAAATGCAACAATGCCTTGATGGAGGCTCCATTGAAGATGCGTGCGACCCTCTCAAGTGGCCGTCTGACCCGAATGTTCGGTCCAACTCGAGCTGAATATCGAGTGGAACTGGGTGACTCTGGGGCTATTTGCTAAAACGCAACAATTTCGATTTAAAGCATTTGTGACTGCAGGGATTCATATTATTGGTTCTTTCGGTAAAGTCACGTAGAAGGAAAATAATAAAGTAATAAAAATAAAACAATTAAATTCTCACGACGTTTCGATTGCAACACAAGCAATCATCATCAGGTGTGAAAACCACAATTTTCTTGCTGTGGGTTTCACACCTGATGATGATTGCTTGTGTTGCAATCGAAGCGTCGTGAGAATTGTATTGTTTTGTTTTCATTATTTTATTATTTCCCTTCTACGTGACTTTACCGAAAGAACCTAGAATTTGAATCCCTGCAGTCACGAAAGCTTTAAATCGAAAAAGACCCCAACATTCGTCAATGATGACCGATTCCATTCATAAAGTGCGCTCTTGCCGCCGTGTGCACTGAGTAGTACTCAGTATTAAACACGCGTTGACTGCTCTATACAGGGTGGGATAGAGATCTCTACTCAACCCTGCAGGGTGACCCCTCTCATAGTGAAGGCGTTCACACTTGAGCTGCGGTTGTCCTGTGCCAGTAGTTGCATCATTAACCGTGTGAAATAATTTTCAAACCATTACTATGAAAATGCAAAATTTTGCAATAAGTTACTTTTCTTGGATTTAACAGAATTCCACAATAGCTCTCTCAATAGCTGTAGCGTTTGAGTTACGATCTTTCACATTTTTTGCGTTGTTAAATCGAATGACTCATTAAACGATAATTAAATGACTACTTAGTGTAGGACAATCATTGAATGTTAAACTAAACTCTGCAGTTTCATTTAATGCTGAGGGTGTTGACAAGCAAAGTAGCGGGTGCGTGGGGTTTAAATTGTCAACTCGTGCCCGCACTGCATCGTGTGGCGGGTTTCTGACAGGAGCAGCATCGCCACGACGCTCTCATTGGCGCTTGGTGAATATCCGTGGCGGGTTCCTTTTCGTTTTTTATTCGTTGAATGAGACGTGACCCTCCCTCACCTGGCCACCCACTTGTGTGTTTGTGTGCCTTCAGGTGTCACAGCAGAGCTATTGCAGAGGGATGCTGCGATTATCCTGGCGTGGGCTAAGCCTAGACAGCGGCCCTCTGTCAATCCACAGCGGAGGTAAGAGCCCCCCACTCTATGTCAGTAAATGGGGGGGGTGGGGGGTGTTTAATCATACTTCACCAGTACGAGTTGGTGTGAAGGGGAGGCAGCCCAAATATCTGTTCAGATGTCACTCAGCACCGACGTTAGCCGTGGCCGGGAATCGAACTTTGATGGCAGCTAAGGGCCGTGCCACCGCTTCACGGGTGAACGGGCTGATTAGATGAGACGATGGCGTTGCGTTTCATATCAGTGGCTACTCCTCCACGTGGCTGGGCGATTGAGAAACCACACCCACAGCAGTGCCCCAGTGTACCGGCACCCCCCCAGTGCTGGAGTCAACATTCTCTGGGCCCCGTTTTTCTTCACACGCCGCCCTGGATTTGGGCCCGGCAAGAAGCGCGTCGCCACCAAACGCGTTACGGTCAAAAGTTGTAAGCGGCAGGTTTATCTAACTTCATATTTGACGACTTCCTCTTCCAAGACCTCCTGGCCAGTGTGGAGGAGTAGGCCAATTACCCTCACAGGGGCTCTCTGCAGCTCCCTCTCGTGGAGGCCCCATTTGCCGGCAGTGGCGTGAACAACCGCAGGGGCTGTACCTTTACCTTCTATCCACTTTTTATATTCAACATTTAATTAGGTCAGCAAGGCGGTGTTGACCTCTTACCCACACACGTTTCTGACAAGTACAGCAAGTGCACGTGTACACAAGTGTACTCCTGTGCTAGTTGCACGCCACTTCTGCTTTTTGTGTTTAGTTTGTTGTCGTTCCCCCACACCTCAGATTAGCACGGTTGGCTGTGTGTGGTGCTAAAGAAGTTAAACATACACACACGCGCATCCACACACACAAACACGTACACACCCATCAACACACAGACATACAAAGACAAACACCCCCCGTATAGCCAAACAGGCTGTTGGGGCAAGTGCTGTTAGGGAGCACACGCACATACACACATACATACACACATAAACACATACACACACACATTTAAACAAACACATACACACACACATCCACACCCATACACACATACACCCACACACAAAGACACATACACACACACACTGCGATGGCAAAGTAATAAATGGAAGCGAGACCAGTTTTGTCACGACAAGTATATATTCATTTCAAGTGCAAATACAAAACGAGGTAGACAAAATCTCTGGAAAACATTAATCTTGCTTTCCCTTCCCACACTTTGAGCTGCTTTTGTACAAACGATAAAAACCCCGAGGAGACCGAATTGTCACCGATCTACATTCACGAGTTCAGAAACCGCTATTTCTGGAGGTATCGTGGATGATGGAAATAAAGTGCTTGGCGAAGTTCATCATTTATCCATACATTTCACGTGGTAACGGCTTGGCGCTACGGTTAGTGTGTCCATTGAAATGTGCACGCCCCGTACATAAAAAAGTAACAGATATGTAGTTTAAAAAATGCCGACGTATTCACAGTTCAATAAATAAATACTTTGCAACAGCGGTTACTTTTTTTAATCCCCGAGACAACGCAAAATAAAAGCCCCGCATTTTACATGAACAGAGACAAGAACCGTACGGGAATACCTTGCACGACCTCACTGAGACCGCACTCCGGCCTCGCGTTGCGGAGGATGCAATCTCGGTCTTCATTTGTAATGGGACAGTTCATTTTGCGGTCACCATCACAATGACGTTCCTGGTGCCAACTCTCTTGACGATTGGCCAGGGAATAAACATCAACCCCAAGACATAATGGGTTGGTGCCGCCTGCATGGATCTTGGCTCCTGTTTCCCAGAATGGCTGGCGTGATTTTAAGCACTTTCGTGCTGGGTGTTTCAAGTCTTCGTGGATTAAAACTTGATTTGAAGCTTTCGTGATTGCATGAATTACTCTTTGGTTATAGTAGGTTTTTACCCTTTAAACTGGTACAAAACTGACACCTTTATACAAGGCATCATGTTTGCAATAACCACAACACAAGCAGTCAAAATGCAAATAAAAAGAAACAACTTTGATAATGATATGCACTGTCCTTGAAGTTGATTGGTCCACACCCGAGACAGTTTTTCTTAGAGCCTAGTCTCCATTGGTGTTGGACCAGAAGACGCCAAAAGGCGTACAACTCAAAAACAGCACACTATCAGAGTATTGAGAGCTCGGGGTAAGCATTTACACTATGAGACCTCCTTTGCCACTGGTAAAGGAGGTCTCATAGTGTAAATACTCTTTGGTTCTTTCGGTAAAGTCACGTAGAAAATAAATAAATTAAATAATAGAATACGACGTTTCGATTGCAACACAAGCAATCGTCATCAGGTAGAAAGCAAACCTAGTGAACTTAAAAATATTTTCTTTCTTCGTGGATTGTGAGGTCAGAGTTGCTTTAAATGTTTTCTATCTCGTCGGACGGCTGTCAGCATTGGACGGGCGTGCATGAGGCCTTGAGCTAGTGATTGCAGCTCTTTATTGTGTTGAGAATGTGGTCGTCGAGTGAGAATGTCGAGTCTAAGGTGATTCCAATGATGTTCAAGTGATTTCAGAGGCTGGTGGTGGAGCCGGCGATGAATACATTTTAGGGGGCGGGCGACGCCATGGTGAGCCTCTACCTGGTGCCTTCGTAAAATGTCTCTCAAAATTAGTTTGATCTTGAGGGGAAGCAAAAGGTTAGACACGTGATCATGGATTTTAACCAGCGACTTATCTTGGTGGGGCGAGTGCCAGTTGTTACACCGGTGGTGGCTGCTGTGCGACCAGAGTGGCGGTGGCTGTGGTGGGACTGGTGGCGGTGGCTGCTGTTGGACTGGCTGCTGTTGGACTGGCTGCTGTGGGACTGGCTGCTGTTGGACTGGCTGCTGTTGGACTGGCTGCTGTGGGACACGCGGTGGCAGCAGCTGCTGTGGTGCTGACGGCGGCTTCTATGAGACCTGCGGCGGTGGTGGTGGTGGCTGCTGTAGGACTGGCGGTGGTTGCTGGTGGAATGGCAGCGGCTGCTGTGAGATCGGGGTGGTGGTGGTGGCTGCTCTGGGACTAGCGGCAACGGCTGTTGCGTGTCTGGCGTTGCCGGTAGCTGCTGCTGCTGCTGTTCCTGCCGTCGCACTTGCAGTGGCTCCGGCAGTTGTTCCCGTTGGGGCGGTCCGACATCTTGGGTTTCTGGAGATAAAGAAGATGATGGCGCTAAAGTCCAAACCGCTCGACATTGGGAGAATGAAACAAAACCGGTCTAAAGTATAAACAAGAAGATCGCTGTACTTCACCATTCCCTTAATATTAAATGATGCGCTGTCAGGGTGTACATTCTCCCTGGGCATTTCCACGCACACAGGACGGCGTTTCCAATCCATCCTTTACCTTGCGCGCCGGTGAGGAGAGCTGCTGTCCGGTAACTGGGTCCGGGGTCTTCCTTCGCCGAGTGGGGCCGCTTAAGGCACGACCAGGACGTCGCCTTGACGTGCTCCAGCGGGCAGTAGCTCTCCGCTGGCGGCGCGTTCAATTCTGGGGACCTGCATGCACGCACCAACGCGTCGCAAACCGTTAACACCTGCCTTTAAAGGAGACACTGCTGCTCGCACAAGACAATATCTTTCCAGTGAGCTGGTCTGGGGGACGGTTGTAAGTGCAGGTTAAAGTGGAGGGGAGAGAATGTGACTTACCGAATATAGAAGAGCACGTAGGCCTGCTTATTCATCACAGCCTTGGTGTCGACATGCCGCACGTTGGAGTCGTTCATGCAGCACCATTGTCCATCGCTGATCTGCGCACAGTCAAAGCACAGCTACACTTGGTTACAATGTTTACACAACTGCACCCAGATTCCTCCGTTGATGTAATAACAACACGCAATACACACTCTAGACAACAAGTTCGTAAAGAGCATCACCCCTTTGTCAGAGCGTGCTACGGTTGCTGTGATGGTGCTGAAGTTACGAAACGATCTGCCTGAATATATCACTGCATGGATGACCTTGGACCAATTTCATCAGAATCAGAATCTTTATTTGTACTGAAAGAATTCGATGATCTACGAAGCTCTTAAACAAATGTCCAGTCGGGGCGGGTCAGAAAGTTACAACAACAACAAACAATACAACACCGATTGGAGTGCAAAGTGTAGAAATGCTATGGAAGTCACTAAATACAAATAAAGTATACACTTTAAGTAGAAATTGCATGAGTGCATCAAGACGCAAGAACATACACAAGACTTTTAATTATTCTTCCCTATCGGACATTGGTAACATTATGGGCGCATTGCAGATGTGCGTTGTTTTTGTTTGATAGTAACGAATGGAATTACCTTATTGTAGCAATAATAATGACCCCTGTTGGAGTTGGCTCCCTTGTGCACCAGCACCGAGTACAGGGAGTAGATCGCGGGCTCGCCCTGAGACGTTGAGGTGAAGGGTTGCATGTCCAGGTGCTCCGGGTAGGTGATGTTCTACAGGCAGCGCACAGGAGGGGGAGGCAGTGCACAGAGACAAATGTTAGGAGAGGAAACGGCAGGGGTGGTGGGGTGGGCAGCAGAGATGGGCACCATCTAAGTTACACGTCAAAGTGACGTGATGTCTCGCTAATTTGAGCGTTGAAGACGGTGCTCATCTCCTGTTCATAGCCCTGAGCAAGTGGTGGAAATTCTACAGTCACATGACGGGGGGCGAGTCTATCTGTCGGACCTATTCCAACATGGAGAGGCATTTTCTCCAGCGTTGAACTGACAAAGGGCTGTCATTAAGTAATTTAATTCGAACGATGTGGAGGGGCAGAATCGTTACCCGGTTGATCTTGACGCCGTAGAGGTTGTACCGCTTGATGGAGACGGTGAGGACGTTGGGCAGGCGGTGGAGAGCCATCGTCTTCGTCGCTTCCCCCTTGCAGCAGCACCTGCACGACAACAACAACGCCAGCCATCGCACGCGTTACCCAACTTTAAACAATAAGTCTACTCTCTTTTTGTTGTTTGTTAATTTTTCTTAATTTCTTAAAATAAAAAATTGTTACTTTTATTATATATTGTAAGTTATTTTCAATGTATTTACATAAAATTTTATTAAAATATTTTATTATAATTTGATTTAATCTGCAGACTTTTGAAGCTACAAATGATTCCAGGGTGTCAACACACGATGCCCAACTCACATTCCGCAGGTGTATTCGTCCAGCGTCTCCTTGTTAAAAAACTCTTCAAATGCCTCCACAAGATCTGATGAGTTCTGTTGGTCGACAGAGTGAAACGCAAATGAGGACTCTAAGAAGCATTCCATGAACATCTGCAGAATGTTATTGTGACGGTAATTCTGAAAACCCGCATCTTGTATGAAATCGTACGACCAAAAAAAGAGATCACGTACGCTACCGGCAGTGTGTTTGGATGTTAAGTGGCTGATTCAGGTAGGCGTGTGTGTGGTGGATGTTGGCACAGCAGGGAGCACAGGTGGTGCATCGGCCAGTCATCTCGGTCAACCCATGGCACCTGGGTCTGTCCCGTGACCTGCCAGCGGGCGTTCGACACTTCATATGGCCTTAAAGTGCACTCAGGCTGGCACAAGCACCGTGGTGACATCACCACCACTTAGTGGCGAATGGGGGTTGTTGTTCACGTATGCGATGTATGTACGTTTAACTTATTTCGCACCGTACGTAGATCTATAACTGTTAATCGATGGCTTCGTCATTGCTTACATTAATATGGAGTGCAATGTCCAGGCACGTGTCAAAGGTGTCGGAGTGGTTGCAGCACTGCATGCACTCCACTGCAAAACACAAGCACACACGCATTAGGAAGGGACGTCACATGTTACTTAGTAAAACTAAATGCACGCTCCCCACTGACATTGGTAATTGGTAGTTTTCACCAACTGGTAAAAGGTTATTCTGTGTTGCACGTGCGTGAGAGTGTGCAAACGCTGCGACGCGAGCACGTCTACACTGTGATGGTGCACTTGCTGCTCGCGGTGAACAAGTTTCTAGAGGAGTGCGCACAACTCACCACGTGATCGAAGGTAACCCCCGAAGATCTGGTAAATGAGGGTGGTAGCCTCCGTGTATCTGTCCAGCCTGCCAGTCACAGAGAACGACACCACACGGTGGTTACAGCAGCAGCAGTAGTAACACATTTACCGGATGCACACACGTGTGTGAGAGTTGCACCATTGCCCGAGCTGTCGATTCACTCTTTCCCTTCAGCACTGCAACGCGTGCTCTGTAGCAACCAAACGTGGTCGCGTCTGCACAGGGCAGCCACCTTCACGGAACAGCCACAGAGCTGGGGGAAAGCTGGCAGCCATCACGCGGTGCTGTTGCCCGGCGCTTTTGTTGTGCTCGGCGTGCCACGTGCCGCTCGTCAACACGAGGAATGTCGTCACGGGGACACCGCACATCGAGACATCAATTTCCCGATATTTATCGGCAATGTGAAATGCACAAACAAAAGATGGCCCACGTCAGGGCCAAGGTGAAAGAACCGTGGTGTCAGCAGGGCCGGTCCTCTGCATCTCCCAGGTGTTCACACAAAAGTGTGAGTAGCTTTTCACAGACGTTGAAGTACAATCGTGCAGAAAACCGAGAGGAAGCCGTGAGGTACCAAACTGCAGAACGACTGCCGCATGTTGACTGGCGCGCAGTACTCACTCGCTGTGGCCATAGAGGCATGAGGCTTGCATGCCATCTACCACGTATCGCAGAAACTCGTGGGCATCTTCCTGTCTCCCAATGCGCAGGTGTTTGGCAATGCCTGCAGAGAAATGGACATGGGGACAAAGTGACAGGTACAGGATCTGATGACATCCTTAAAGAGCTCCCCAACATATATGGCAAAAGGAGTGGTGCAAAGGACTTGGAACACAGATGGAGAAAGATCGCGGGGGATAACTTCTCCTGCGAGTGCAAGTGTGAACGTAGTATTGGGACTCACGTGTGATGTTCTTAGTTATGACCTTGGGTGTCAGCACTCTCTGCGAGTTGTTGAACGTGCTGACAATGTGATGCTCCATGACACACATCAGGCAAAAGTCGCTTTGTTGGCCTGCGAACGAGAGCACAGGTGGCACAATCCGTCAGCGCACGCCACTTGCACTCAGCCCAGCTGGGGAGTAACAAGAAAGGCTAGAATCCTGGCACCAGCAACAATCGCAATGAATGTTGCGTCTAAGTACCAATTGCATCACATCTGTCCGACCTATTAAAAATTATCGCCACATGTGCTCGTGTTTATCAAAATCATAATATTTATACTGGTGGAATCCGATAAGCTAAGAGGTTTTGTTTAAAAAATGTCGAGTAGGGGCACTGGGTCAGAACATTACAACACCAAACAATACAAAAAACGATCAGAGTACAAAGTATTGGAAAGGTAAACAAATCACCTTTTAAAAATCTACAAATAAAACTAAACTTTTTTTTCATCTTCCCAGATAAAGCCCACTGAGCTATTAGCTTCTTCAGAAGCGACCTGGACCACAAATGATAGCTCAACGAAGTGGCTTATCACGTGGGAAATGTATCGCAGCAAAATAACTGACATAATAACCTAACCCATGGGTAAACGAGAGTGCCAGGGGGGAGGGTACTTACAGGTGCTGCAGTGCTCTTGCAGCAGCAGGTAGTTGGCGAGCGGCGGCGTGTAGGCGAGGCACTGCAGCGTGGCGTTGAGGAAGCAGGTGTTCCCCAGGTTGCGCAGGCCGGCACCCTTGCAGACGTCGCTCTCCCACCGGAGGTTCAGCCGCTCCGGTGCAAACAACGAGAGCCGTGCCGCCGGAATGCCGTCGTCCTCCTCTGCACAAAGGGTCGGAAGCCGGTGTCATCGCAGAGCGCTGCACTGCCGATGGGGCTGGCGTGGATATTCAGTAGCCCCAGCCAGCACCCGTACTGCTACTCTTAACCACGAAGATTTTGCTCCACATTTAAGTGTCAGGTTCAAGTTCGCGAAAAATATAATTTGCCTGTCGCGTTGGCTGCTGGGTGTTTTGAGCTCCCCGTGTTACTCGTGAACGGCAACAGCAGTGGCTCCAAAGCGGCCCTTGCGTTGGTGGCTGCCACCCTAATGAGATGCCACGACGTCGCGTGATTGCACACTCACCTTGGGGTGCAGGCACAGACACGCTGATGTTCTCTGTGGCTGGTACAGGGGAGGGCTCCGGCCGGCCATGGGGAAGGCAGCAGGGTTGCGTGCAGAGCCACTCGTCGGCCGCCACCAGCACCTCGTTGGACGAGGTGGGGGCCAAGACCGTGAGGTCGTTGCCGGACGAGGTGCCCTCTGCTCCGCACGCCACAGTCGTGGTTGGGTCCTGCCACACAACGTAGTCAAAACATCCACAATTGTTCCTCCCATCTGGACTGGGATCCCAACACACGCGGGACTGTTTTATCACCAAAAGAAATACAATTTTAGTCCATGAACCTATGGGCGATCTGCATGAATTGTCTCAGAAGCAAAAATATATTTACAGTATACACCTGTATTTTTAAAGTAACCCCAAACTCACTTTAACTCGTAAAATATTATATGAAGAACGGCCATTTACTAAAGATGAACTAATTCAATTTGTTGTTATGCATGCGAGAGAGAAGGCAGCTGTAGTTTAAAAGAGGTCATAAATGCATTTCAGAAGATAAATCGAGCATTCATGTTAATCAAATTAATTTTTAACATTTGTTAAAATTAAACTAAATAATCATCCGTGATTTGTTCAAATAAATACACTAATCCTGATTTTTCGGCCACCCTCTTACAAACGACGTCATGAAGGGCCAACTGTGATGTGCTCTGAAAAAGGGGCATTAACTGAAACGTCGCTTTTATATATTTAAGAATACTTTATATATGTAAAACACGTTTTTATCAAAGTCAGAATATTTATACGGGAGGAATCCGATGAGCTATAAAGCTCTTTTTCACAGATGTCCAGTCGGGGCGGGTAAGAATGTTACAACAACGAACAACACAAACATCATAGGAGTGCAAAATACAAGTTGGCCCAAAAGTTAAGACACAGGGTTACTTAATTTATCTTAACACTGACATTACATAGTTCTCATTATTTGTTCTTAAAGTTAACAATTTAACTATCATTAATTTTGATAACATCCTCTGTGACTAGTTCAAATAAATACGGTAACTCTGTGTCCTGACTTTTGGGGCAATTTTATATAGGCGACGTTATGTAATTGATGTGATGTGCTCTGCAGAAGGGCCATTATCTGAAACGTCGCCTATCATTTTCCTGTAACAATTCCCCCCACTCGTGCACTCCCAGCGTTGTGATTGGCTGAGTGGCACCAGCGGGCCCCGCCCCGCCCGCCACCCAGGGCCCCGCCCCCTCACCTGAGGCTCCGCCCCCAGACGCGGCCCCGCCGCCGCCTGCGCGGCTCCCGTCAGCTCCGGCACGGCGACCCGCGCCGCGCCTCGGGCTTCATCCGGGGAGGGGGTCCCGGGCACAGCCCCGCGGGATCCCTCGCGGGGGTCATCATCTGCAAGAAGGAGGAGCACAGCGATCACATTTTGTACTTCGGACAAACACACGGCTCTACATTTCCCACGAAAGTTTAACATGGCACTGTTCAGTAGCCCCAGCCAGCAGCACCCGTGCTGCTACTCTTAACCAGAAAGATGTTGCTCCACATTAAAGTTTAAATCTCAAGGTAGCGAAAAATGTGATGCGCCTGTCACGTTGACTGATAGGTGTTTTGAGCTCCTCGTGTTACTCGTGAACGGCAACAGCAGTGGCTCCACAGCGGCCCATGCATTGGTGGCCGCCACCCTAACGAGAGGCCACGAGGTCGCGTGGTCGCACACTCACCTTGGGGTGCAGGCAGCACAGACACGCTGATGTTTTCTCGTGCTGTGGCTGGCACCGGGGAGGGTTCCGGCAAGCCATGGGGAAGGCAGCTGGGTTGGGAGCAGAGCCTCTCGTCTGCCGCCGCCAGCACCTCGTTGGACGAGGTGGGGGCCAAGACCGTGAGGTCGTTGCCGGACGAGGTGCCCTCTGCTCCACACGCCACAGTCGTGGTTGGGTCCTGCCACACAACGTAGTCAAAACATCGACAATTGCTCCTCCCATCTTGACTTGGATCCCAACACACGTGGGACTATTTTATCACCAAAAGAAATACAATTTTAGTCCACGACCCGATGGACAACCTGCATCAAATGTCTCAAATATATAAACATAATCTATTTTTAAAGGAACCCCAAGCTCACTTTAACTCGCCAAATAGTCTATGAAGAAGGGGCCATTGACTAAAGACGAACGATTTCAGTTCGTCGTTACGTATGCAAAAGAAGGAAGCTGTAAACTTTTTAAAGATATTAACTTAATTTCAAAAGATAATTCGTGCATTAATCTTGAACTAAATAACAATCTGTTATTTGTTAACACAATTATAACCCGATGTGTCCTGATTTTTGGGCCAGCCTCTTATTAGCGACGTCATGAAGGACTAACTGTGACGTGCTCTGAAGCAGGGCCAGTGCCTGAAACGTCACCTGTTATATATTTAATCATACAGTATATATTTCGATTTAAAGCTTTCGTGACTGCAGGGATTCATCTTTTTGGTTCTTTACATTAATTACAGATAATAATAATAATGTGTAATTAATGTATACTGTATGGTAAAGTCACGTAGAAGGGAAGTAATAAAATAATAAAAATAAAACATAAAATAATTCTCACGACGTTTCGGCCACAACGCAAGCAGCCGTCCTCAGGTGAAGAACAGGTCTGTCGAGAAGACAGAGTCTGAATGACAACCCCAGGCTTGGAGCGTCTTTTTAAGCTGGGTTGGAGGGGGGGAAGAGCGCCTTGACAAAATAGTTTGCATATCAAGAGGAATTTAGCATATTTATGGGAAATGCGTAGGAGGTGGGCTGGGGGGTTTCAAAGTCATATTATGCCCATGCATTACGCAGGATTAGCAGCATCAAAGAGAGGGGGTAGGGGGTAGCATTAACAAAGGGTGGGAATGTTAATGCTACCCCCTACCCCCTCCCTTTGATGCTGCTAATCCTGCATAATGAATGGGCATAATATGACTTTGAAACCCCCCAGCCCACCTCCTACGCATTTCCCATAAATATGATAAATTCCTATTGATATGCAAATTATTTTGTCAAGGCGCTCTTCTTCCACCTCCAACCCAGCTTATATATATGCTAAATTCCTCTTGATAGGCTTAGATTAAAATTGTGACTAATTATTCGTTTGTTGTGAGACGAAAAATCAATGTTCTCCCTAAATATCCCCTGTGTTTGTATTTTATCTTTGCGTTTTGACACCCTCTATTATTGAATAATAAATAAACTATTCAGTTAATTTGTGCGAGATAATAGGTTTTTTTTTTACTTCCAATAGAAATTGAAATAAAGGAGCAGAATCTGCTTTGAATTTGAACTCAGTGCAGTTTCACTTTGATGACTTTTGCTCGCACTTACGGTGAACATTTGTTAAAATGAGTGAACACCGACCTTTCCCCTTGCGATCAATAATCAATATTCACTTTTTTTAATTCACATCAATTCAGAATCCAGTAAGTTATTGTAACTGAACAGGGGCGTCCACCCCTTCATGAAGTTGAACCAGGCGGCCGCATGGGGCCCCAAGTTAAGTGGGGCGCCAAAAATTCGAGCAAAACACATTCCTGCGGAGGGAGCTGGTAGTAACGGTCAATGGCCAGGGTCAACGGCAGCGTGGTGTATTCCGCAAATATGCCCGACTGTGAGGGCAGGCACAAGCCGGTGTGAGTAGTTTAAACGTTGATACAGGTTGGCACAACAGGTTCCACACTGCCCACCAGGGATTATTTGTCTGTCGTGCATCAAAATGCAGCCCACCCATGCCCCCCCCCCACCGACCGCCGAGCAAGGCCACGATTGGTTGAGGATGTCGGGGAGGGTGGGGGGAAGGTAAACACGCCCAATCATCCAACTTCCCTCCCCCCCCAAAACGCCGAGCGGGGCGGCCACTGGTAGAGGTGGGGTGTAAACACGCCCACTCATGCAATCCCCTCCTTACAGAACACCGAGCAACGCCGCGATTGGTTGACGATGTCGGGGAGGGTGGGGGGGAAGGGTAAACATGCCCACTCATCCAACTGCCCCCCCCCCGAACGCCACGCTGAGTGTGAGAGTGTGTGTGTGTGAGTCTGAGAGTGTGAAAGTAAGTGTTTGTTTGAGTCTGAGAGTGTGAGAGTGTGTGTGTGTTAGTCTAAGTGTGAGAGTGAGTGTATGTGTGTGTGAGTCTGAGAATGTGAGAGTGAGTCTGAGAGTGTAAGGGTGAGTGTGTGTGTGAGTCTGAGAGTGTGAGATGTCAGTGTCTGTGTGCGTTTGAGCGTGAGTGTATGTGTGTGTGAGTCTGAGACTGTGAGAGTGTGTGTGTGTGAGTCTGAGAGTGTGAGAGTTTGTGTGTGTGTGAGTTTGACAGTGTGAGAGTGAGTGTATGTGTGTGTGAGTCTTAGTTGCCTAGAGTGTTATACAGGTAGGAACAACAGGTTCCACACTGCCCACCAGGGATTATTTGTCTGTCTGTCTGTCGTGCATATCCGGAATTCTGCCCACCCATGCACCTCCCCGAGGCCTCGGCAAGGTAAGGTAAAAGTTAAAAACAAAAAACAACGAACCTACCTTTACCCTACCTTCTACCTTACCACAATACAATTACTCTACCCTTACCTTTTACCCTTTAGCAGGTAAGGTAAAAAGCAAGAGCCTACCTTTTACCCTTACCCCATACAAATTACCCGATTACAGGGTAATTACTAGGGTACTACACATGAAAAAGGTTAATAACGGTAAATGCTAGATAGCGCGCTTTATTCATATAGAGTACTCTCGATGATTCCAATTTTACACGCTTGTTGTCATTGTTGTCGTTGTCGTCATTGTCATCGCTGTCATATCCTCAAATCTTGTAACTCAATTTTAACCCACTTCCTAATGTGGTATCGACTGCACACTTGGTATACTTATGGCATACTGATGACAATACTATATTCTATCATTAAAAAAAAAAATTTACATGATTTTTTTTATGTTATGTTTCGGCTTGGGTCTATTTGTCCACGCTCAACTGACGTTGGCTGTAAATCACCACGGTCCCTTACGTTATGGCAAGCTTCGGGGCCACTTCCTGGAGTCGTGGAGTTCTGTTATTACTCGTACATTTAATGAAAGCGTGTTTTAAAAAAATATTTTTTAAAATTACATATTAAATGGAGGCCATGGACTGTGCCATGGAGCTTTTAGCGGTAAACAAGGTACCGTATTTACCGGGTAATACTTCGCGCTACCTTTACCCTACCGGGTAATTCTTCCGAGCTACCTTTACCCTACCCTTGACCTTACCCCTTGGCATGTTGACACCTTTACTCTTTTACCCGGTAAAAAGGGTAAATTACCTTACCTTGCTGAGGCCTACTCCCCACCGAACACCGAGCTACGCCACGATTGGTTGGCGATGTCGGGGAGGGTGGGGGGGGAAGGGTAAACACGCCCACTCATCCAACTGACCCCCCCCCCCCCTGATCGGCGCGCTGTCCAACCAAGTTCCTACCTGCCCACTCCGAAGGAACGTGTTAGGGCACCACGGGGTGAGCAGCCCCTCCCCACCCAGCCCCACCCCTCCCACCCTCCACCCAGCCCCACCCTCCCCACCCAGCCCCTCCCAACCCTCCCCTCCCCACCAAGCCCCTCCCCACCCAGCCCCTCCCCACCAAGCCCCACCCTCCGCACCCAGCTCCTCCCTCCTCACACAGCTCCTCCCTGCACGACGGACGGACAAAATAATCCCCTGTGGGCTGGTGTAACCAGGAGGTTACTACCAGTAAACATACAAATAAAATAACGACGATGTCATTATTTCAATTCCTGTGCGCATACAGCGGGAATATGAATTACAATTCACTTCTCAACATTCCTGAGAATGTATTGGTTGGACAGACGGGCGAACGGACAGACCGAATCATTATTCCTCTGTTTAAAAAAATTTGCTTAAAACATTAAGTTATCATCATACCTAAAATCGGGGCAAAATGTTTCCCAGTTTACCAGAAACCTCAGCCTGGATCTGCCCTTGGGGTTTGGGGGTGGGGCCGCCCATTGGGTGGTTGGCCGAGGGCGTTGCCAGTTGCTGGCAGCAGCTGCTCTAGGGCCGCTCCTCTCACTGAGTGCAAATTCATTTTGGTAAAAGCGATTTTCTGCTCACGTTTTGAGCGAAAACTGGTGAACACAACGACGCGTCCTTCCGGGTTATAAACAGCTCATTTTTTAGTATTCACATCAATAGGGAATCCAGTAAGTCAATACTTATAATAATAATAATGTAATAATTACCAAAACAATTGCGCATTTGCAACAAACATAAGTCAAGAACCGCGTGTTTACATTGTTTCATTCACTCTCACAGGTGAGAAAAAAAATAAAGGTTTGCAAAACTAATTTTCGATTGAAACTTTTCGTTTACTTTCTTCCCGACAGAAAGGAAACTCCAACAGCTATTAGAATGATGAAGGTGATTTACAATTTTTCATTCTTTATTTGCAGGTTTGTTATACATTATTCTCGGAGAAGATAAAATTACATTCGGTACGTCACATTCCGTAATTTTGAGTTCATTCAGATGAATCCAGAAGAGTCGCAGACGAAAGAAGACGTCGATTAAACGGAGGAAGACGGCAGAGGTGGCGTCATCGACAAAGTCACAACACAGTGGATCGTTTACGACGTGAAAATACCCGTCACGTGACGGGCAATTACGCGATGCTTCCTCACCAGGACTAAAGCGGGAAGTTATTTTTCCCCAATTACATTCCTTAAATAATGATCAAATAGAGCAAGTCAAGATCTATAAGTATCTTGGGGTCATCCTTGATTCAAAACTGAATTTTGAAGATCACATTGATTATATTGGTAAAAAGACAGAAATAGGTTTTCTGTATCGACACCAGCACTGCTTCCACCCTATGTTCCGTTTGGAATTGATAAAAGCTACCGTACTGCCTCTACTTGATTACTGTGACATCGTGTATAAATCAGCCCCAAATACTGCACTGAAGAAGCTTGACTCAATGTATCACTCGGCCTTAAGATTTGCACTGAACTGCCCATATAGGACTCACCACTGTGATCTCTACATTGGGTCAAACTTAACATCTCTTAATGTTCGACGGCTTGTGCACCAGATCTTTTTGATTCATAATGTACTTCCAAAAAAATCCGCAGATTATCTGCGGGATTTCCTCTCAGTTTCAAAGAACAAATTTGACCTAAGGTCTTCGCTCATTTACCAACTTCAGATTCCCTATTGCCATACAAATACTGGAGGAAGGGCCTTTTCTATTGATGCCCCCAGGGTCTGGAATGCTATTGCCAATAAACTGCAACTTGAATCACTACCTATGATATCTTCACTCAAAACTGCTCTAGAGGAGATGTACACCCCGAGCTGCCACTGCTATTTAGTGGCCTAAAATAAAATGTTTCACTCCGGACTTGCATCCCACTGGGATTTTTGCACACAGCGTGGTGTACGGTGCTTTCTGCAATGTTTTGCCGTCTTTTCTTGGATTTTCTGTTTGCAAATAGTCACATAGTCACTTTAAGATGTTTTCTTGTTCATGTTTTTTTGTTTGTTGTGGTTGCACCCGATTCAAGAGCCGAATGGCTCACAGGGCTATACCTAATAAATGAACTTGAACTTGATGTTATTATTAATATCTATTTTTCTTCTTCATTTTCAGATGACATTGAAAACATGGACAGGAAATTGACCAGAGACGAACGAGTTTGATTGTCATTCGTATGCAAAAGAAGGCAGCTGTGATTGCTCATTCGTACATCGTGCATCAATGTAAACAGAAGTCAGTTTTAACATTTGTTAAAACAAACAACATAATGCTTTGTTACATGTTAAAATAAAATGATGACACTATGTGGCATGACTTTTGGGCTACCCTCTATAGGTGACGTTGTGAAGGGCCAATTGTGATGTGTTTTGCAGAAAGGCCATTGCCTGAAACGTCAGCTTTTTATATCTAACCACACATGATATATTTATTACACATTATTATCAGAATCAGAATAGATATTTAGACTGGAGGAATCCGATGAGTTATAAAGCTCTTTCGTATAGGTGTCCAGTTGGGGCAGGTAAGAATGTTACAACAACGAACAATATCAACACATGATAGGAGTACAAAATACAGGTTGGCCCAAAAGTTTCATTCATCGTGCCACTGAAATTGCAACGTTTTAAGCATTTAGTCTAAAAGTTAACATTTTTTTTGTTATTATAATTAATACCATGACAAAACAATCCTCTGTGATTTGTTTAAATAAATCAATAAGATCTGTGTGTCCTAACTTGTGGGCCACTCTCTATCGGCGACGGTATGAAAGGGCAAACAACTGTGATGTGCTCTGCAGACGGAACATTGCCTGAAACGTCACCTATCATTATCCAATACCCACCCCAGTGTACTCCCAGCGTTGTGGTTGGTTTAGCGGCCCCGCCGCCGCCTGCGCGGCTCCCGTCAGCTCCGGCACGGCGACCCGCGCCGTGCCTCGGGCTTCATCCGGGGAGGGGGTCCCGGGCACAGCCCCGCGGGATCCCTCGGGGGTGTCGCCATCTGCAAGAAGGAAAAGAAGCACAGCGATCACATTTCGTACTTCTGGGTCTACATTTCCCATTATAGATAAAACATGGCCCCAGCCAGCACCCGTCGTGCCACCATTAACCAGAAAGATTTTGCTCCACATTGAAGTATGAAGCTCAAATTCGAGAATAATGTGATATGCCTGTCACGTTGTCTGATAGGTAGTTTAAGCTCCCCGTGTTACTCATGATGGGCAACAGCAGTGGCTCCAAAGTGGCCCTTCTGTTGGTGGCTGCCACCGTAACGAGAGGTCACGAGGTCGCGTGGTCGCACACTCACCTTGGGGTGCAGGCAGCACAGACACGCTGATGTTATCGCGTGCTGTAGCTGGCACCAGGGAGGGTTCAGGCCAGGCCATGGGGAAGGCAGCTGGGTTGCAGTGCTAGAGCATCTCGTCGGCCGCCACCAGCACCTCGTTGGACGAGGTGGGGGCCAAGACCGTGAGGTCGTTACCGGACGAGGTGCCCTCTGATCCAGCTGCCACAGTCATGGTTGGGCCCTGCCACAGCAACACAGTCAACACATCCACAATTAATCCTCCCATCCGGACTGGCATCCCAACACACGTGAGACTGAATTATCTTCAAAATGAATCAAATTAAGTCCATGAACCGATAAGTGATCTGCATTAAATGTCTCTGAAATATATATAGACGATAGACTTTTTAGAGGAACCCCAAACTGACAAAATATTCAAAGAAGTTGCCATTGACTAAAGACGAACGAGTTCAGTTCGTTGTTATGCATGCAAAAAAGGTAGCTGTAATTTAAAAAAGGTGCTAAATGCATTTCAAAATGGTAATGGATATCAGTTTTAACATTTGTTAAAAATAAACTCAATGACCCTTTGTGATTTGTTAAGATAAATACAATAACTTTGCGTGTCCTGACTTTTGGGCCACCCTCTACAGGCCACGTTATGAAAGGGACAACAACTATGAATGTGCTCTGCAGAAGGGCAATTGCCTGAAACGTCGCCTATCATTATTTTGTAAGGACCCCCCCCCCCCCGTGCACTCCCAGCGTTGTGATTGGCTGAGTGGCGCCAGCGGGCCCCGCCCCGCCCGCCACCCGGGGCCCCGCCCCCTCACCTGAGGCTCCGCCCCCAGACGCGGCCCCGCCGCCGCCTGCGCGGCTCCCGTCAGCTCCGGCACGGCGACCCGCGCCGCGCCTCGGGCTTCATCCGGGGAGGGGGTCCCGGGCACAGCCCCGCGGGATCCCTCGCGGGGGTCGCCAACTGCAAGAAGAAGGAGAAGCACAGCGATCACATGTTACACTGCGGACAAACACACGGCTCTACATTTCCCACTGGAGACAGACATGGGCCTGTCGATCGCTTCAGAAGAACTAAATAGCTCAGTGGGCTTCACCTGGTTTAATAAAAAAAAATTAACCCGTAAAAACAAAGTTTTTCACTATAAATCCTTCATATGCGTGGCATCGGTTTCATTTTATTATTCTTTTCTGTTTTTCTTGAGTAAGAGTTTCATTTTTATCACATTGGTATTTTAAATAACATATGAATTTTTATTTTTCCTAAAAAATGGAACATTTTTTTACGAAAATAAATTGTCACACACAGCGAGTCTGTGTGCAAAATGTCAGCTCGATTGGATCACGGGAAGTGGGTTAAAAAGACGACCGAAAGATTTGCACGGTCGTAAGCGCGCAAGCAAGCAAGCGCGCAAGTGAACTTAATATAAAGGATTTAAAAAGAGTGGAGCTCATTTCGTTTTCGGGATTAACTTACTTTTCTCATACTTTTCACTTGTTGTTATTGGTGTAATTTCCTGAAATCGTTTAAAAGAGCTTTATAGCTCATCGGATTTATCCACGATTCATAAAGTTCATGATTTTGAATTGGTGAGTGACGGTTGGTAACTTACGGGTGGTCCATTGCCCCCACCCCCCATTGCCCCCCCCCCCCCGTGTGACAGTTGGTCACTTACGGGGGTCCTTTGCCCCCCCCCCCCCCCCCCCCGTGAGTGACGGTTGGTCGCTCAGGGGGTGTCCTTTGCCCCCCCCCCCCATTGCCCCCCCCGTGTGACGGTTGGTCACTCACGGGGGTCCTTTGCCCCCCCCCCCCCCATTGCCCCTTCCCCGTGAGTGACGGTTGTCAACGCGACCGCTTCACCCCGACACGAATCACGGCCTACAACGACCACTTGGCCCAACCCCAAACCCCACACGCAGAGCGATCTTTACAAGTTGCTGCTGGTTGCTGGCCGCTCGGCGTTTCGAGCCTTTCGAGTGACTATTTATCGCGAGATTGGTTATTTAAAGCGACCAACACGCAATTAAACCATACGGGTGGTGCTGCTGCTGCTGCTGCGTGGGCAGTGGTGAACAGGTTGCACCAGAACACAACCACTCAGCACGATCCGTGTCGATAGCGACACTGCGGCCTCCACAGGTGCAGGTGCACGTGGGTCATGGCCCCACTTCAACAGCGCCATCTATTCTATCTGTTTCCCTTCGCAGCAGTGCTGTTGACGTGCTGTCGACTTATTGTCACGTCGTCTTCTGACCAAATATGGACGAATAAATACTTTAACGATCTTTTTACCTCATCTATATACAAAAACGGTACATTATTGAATGTGTCTGTTCGAAATGTTTAACATACTTCCCAACATGCAACAAACTTGATATTTGGCATGTGGGTAACTTCCAGACAGTACGCAATGGAAAAAAATATAAAAATAGAGTTTTGTATTTGGGGGGGGGCACAATAATGATACATTTTGCACGGCCAGGGAGCGGTGACGTCACGCAGTATGCCTAGTGACGTCACGCAGTGTGCATACTGACGTCACGCACCCCCCCCCCCACCCTCCGCGTATTAATCCAAGACAATAATCCAAGTCCCGGGCAACGCCGGGTAGTAAAGCTAGTACAATATTAATTCTAGATCTAGTACAATATAATTAGAGTCACGTAGGTATATATTTTAATAAATTAAATCACGACGTTTCGGGCGCAACACAAGTGTCCGTCATCAGGTGGGACAACCACAGCAAGAAACAATTGCTGAAGTCCGTGACTTTACCGAAAGAACCAAAGAGTATGGATCCCTGCAGTCACGAAAATATCAAATCTAGAATATAAATAAGCATTGAGCTTATTCTACTGTGCTGCCTGTCTCGTATGTGTTGTGCGTGTGAGCGTGTGCAGGGGAGAAATTGACATTTTTGGGGTAAAAATGTTGATAATTTCCCTTTAAAAGTCCGACGCTCACCTTGGGGAAGCTCTCGTGGCATAATCGGTCGATGGGATTCTCAGGTTGTTGAAAGTGTCGCCGCTGTTCACGTTCAAGAGAGCAGGGACGACGCAGAATCACACAAACACGTCTGCTCTTCTCGCCGTGCTGGAGTTCTGTGACCGTCACGGGCCTCACGTGACCGTCGTGTCCCTTGGCAACGACCACGATCATCAACATGGCGACATTCAAACTCGGCACGTGGTCCCTCGTCATCGTTACAACGTTGGAGACGCGAGAGGCACGTGGGGGGCACGGGGAGGGGCTCGTGGGGGGCACGAGGGGGGGGGGCTCGTGGGGGGCACGAGGGGGGGGGCTCGTGCCATCTCCCCCCCCCCCCCGTGAGTGACCAACCGTCACCCCGTGAGTGACGCTGGTCAACGCGACCGCTGCTGGGTGGGCAGAGGCGGCCGGGGGCGGGAGGGAGAGTGAATACACGTGGCCCCATCGTCTTGACTGTCAGCGAGTTCCTCTGATTATTATTCTTATTACTATTCCCACCGTGGTCAATAGTAGCTCTGTATCCTATAATGCTGCTCTCTGTTGTGTGTAACGTGCAAGGTTTGCAGAAGTGTGTAACTCTGTGCAGTGTGCTCAAATGTGCATTCACGTGTTCATTGGAGAAACTTCGCCCCTTGTTAATGCGTCAGTGTTTATGTCTCCTAGAAGATTGGATGTTTTCTGAGAATCAAGCAGCACGAGTATTTGATTGTGACATTTTATTTTAAACCACTGTTTACTTCAACGGCTTCAATATAATTTAATTATCATCATGATGATGATTAAAATATAAAAGTCTTCATACCCTTTCCGACAATAACACAGGAGGTGTTACGAAGCGCAAACACCAAATAGACACTCCGACTACAGGGCATCGAGTCTGCATTGACCACACGTCGCGCTTGTGGTCAAGCATCCAAAGCGACGTGCTCTGATGATGCACGCCTTGTCCCTGACACGACAGTGGCCTCCAGCAGAGACGTCCTCCTTCATGGCCTTGACCCACCCACCAGTTGTCAGGCCAGAGAACAACGACACGAGGAGGCGATCGGCAGCACAGATGCGATGCAAACACCAATCCGTGAATGTGCGGTTAATGCAGACTCGACGCCTTGCAATCGGTGAGTCCATTTGGTGTTTGGGCGTCTTGACACCTCCTGCGTTTACACCATTGGAATTTCATTTGCCAGTAAAAAATTATGATAATTGGCTTTTTACCCTTTTATCATCTGGTCCAACCCATGTGAGACTAGGCTCTAAGGAAAGCTGTCTCGGGTGTGGACCATCAACTTCAAGGACAGTGCACATTATCAGAGTTATGTTTTTTGTTTCCATCATGACTGCAGGTATTGTGGTCTATGCAAACATGACTCCTTGTAAAAAGGTGTCAGTTTTGTTGCCAGATAGAAGGGTAAAAACCCAATTATCACCTCCTGCGTTATTTCCGGAAAGGGTAAAACGCCTTTCTTCTGCCGACATCGCCATGTCGATACCGGCAACACAACTGGTCCCGTGGATGTGTAGCTCGTGATGTATATAGTGTATGTGGAGAGACAGATATGAAAGAGACTACGCCACTTGATCTGTTTCTATTCGATAAGCTCCTACCACTGTGAGGCAGTCGAGGCGTTCACTTCTGTGGGGTGCCACGGTGGCGAGGAGATGTTAACTTCCTCGCCTGGTATACAGGAGGTCGTGGGTTCGGTTCCGATTCTGACTCCTGCTGTTGTATATTTGGAGTTTGCGGTTTCTCTCTCCCCGTGATCGCGTGGATTTGTCTCCAGGTCCGTTTTCCCTCGACATTTAACAAACACGCGTCTCTTTTTTTGTGTCTGCCATACATGTCTTCGTGATAAGCCACTTCGTTGAGATATCATTTGTGATAGCCAGGTCGCTGCTGAAAAAAGAAAATCTACATAGCTAGTGGGGCCTTACCTGGTAATTTTAAATATAAATACTTTAGTTTAGTTTGTAATCTCAACCAGCACTGCTTCGCATTGAGCTGCATGCGACTGCACTAGCAGTGGTCTGTCTACAAACACAGGACTCACGAGGTGGCCTTGCAGTCACGTCAGCTCATTTTCCCTCGAGCAAGAGACGACGGTGGTTGACTGTACGGTCCACAGCTTGAGTCGCGCTGTGGCTGCTCTTTAATGTACCTCTCTCTCTGCGAGTCTCTTATGGGTCTCTACGAGTCTCCATGTATCACAATGTGTGTGTGGGTTTGCTCT